AGGGAAAACTCTATGGTTTCCCCTCGGATGGCCGTGGCCTCGCCCCCAGAGTGCCTGCCGTCGTCACATCACTTCCAGGTGACGTGCATGTGGCGCACGTGCACACACACCAAACGTCGGCCAGGAGCCCCCGCTCCAGCAGAAGATCGACTTGGCAACCCTAGCAGCGGCCAAATCGCTCGCTCACAACTTTAATGCCAACAGCAGCAGCAGGAGGAGATAGGATTTATACTAGTGTTCCCTCTAAGATGAGTTAGTGGGAGCCAGCTCACAGTTTTTTATTTATTTTATTTTTATTTATTTTATTTCACTTATACCCCGCCCTCCCCGCAAGCTGGCTCACACATTTTTTGTCTTCGCTCAGGAAGGAGGGCCCCAGAGCAAACTAATTTATGCAGTGGCCAAATCGCTCGCTCACAACTTTAATGCCAATAGCGCACAAAGTAGAATTTTTGCTCACAAGACTCCACAGCTTAGAGGGAGCATTGGAAGACTAACTGGAACTGACCCTGCTTAGCTTCCAAAATCTGATCAGATCATGTATTAAGCCCTTTATCTGCTGACATAAACTCAGCTCGATAATCATGCGCAATGCAACACCACTGCTAAAATGTCTACGTCCAAACAACTCTCAAAATCTATGCAAGAAGACTTTAAGATTCTGATAATCAAAACTCGGCATCTGCAAGACTTTTCTCCTTGGATCGATTGCCTCTGAAAGCAATACTTTTTTGTGTGTTGATTAACTGTCTCGCTTTTTAACTGATTAAAGTCACAATTACAATAACTCGCTACAGGTGATGGTTTGAGCATGTTTAATGAAGGCAACCGTTTTTCTCCGGTGGATAGCTGAGCAGATTATCCCGTGTTTAGACAAATGCTCCGGCCGAACCGCCTCTCCCACCCCCACTATTTTCCGCCATAGCACAGAAACTAGAATTGGATGAACTCTGATTTAAAATCCACCATCTTTATTCATTGATAAATGGATTTGTGATTAACGACCGGTCGATTTAAAGATTTCTGCCATGAATTAAAATTCTGCAGCCTCTGTGCGGTGATTCCCCGCCCCCTTTTCATTAGGAAGCATCCCAGAATAAAATGGAAGAGGTCAGCTTCTACTGTCTTCGACGGGGAGTTGTCATGTGAGCTCTTAAAACTGGTTCTTTCTGGGCTTTAAAAAGGATTGAGCAATCTTATGGAGGGCAGGGACTATCAAGAGACTGGCTATGTTAGCAGAAAGGAACCTCTGTGTTCTGAGGCAGTATGCCCCTGGATACCACGGTCAGGGGCAGTGTTCCCTCTATGCTGAGTTAGTGTGAGTTAGCTCACAGTTTTTTAGCCTCCGGCTCACACAGTCTCACTCCGGCTCACTGAGTCTTAGCTCAGGAAGGATGGCTCCAGAGCAAACTGATTTATGTAGTAGCAAAATCACTCGCTCCCAACTTTAACTCCACTGCCCCAGACATAAGAAAACAAGAGAAGCCATGTTGGATCAGGCCAATGGCCCATCCGGTCCAACACTCTGTGTCATACAGTGGCCAAAACCCAGGTGCCAGGCAGGGCACGGAAAGTCCAAAACACAGTCCGGGGTCAGGGCACCAGATAAGACAGAGTAACGTGAGCAGAGTCCAAAATACCAAGTCAAAATGCAGCCTAGGGTTACCGGAGATTGCAAGCAGAGTTCAGAAGCCGAAAGCCATTCGTCAAAAGTCAGGATACACAGTCCGAAGTCAGGGAGCTGGGAAACAATGTCACGCAAGCCAAAGTCAGGAGCCGGGAAGTCAGAACGAAAACCAGGAGACAAGAACGCAAGATCCAGGGTGCAGCGAGTCGCCTATGAGACTAGTTGCCAGCACGAGTGGGGGATCTGAGAGAGCCGCCTAAAAAGCCCGTTCCGCTTGTTAGCCAATTACTGGCCGCTAACAGGGTTCTGGCTCTGGTCAGTACTGTGGACTTAGAGGATGCCGACCTCGCATACGCGCCTCCTTACACTGGGTTGCCATGTCCCACCGCCTCTGTTCTCGCAAACGAGCCACCGGGGGGGGGGAATCAGGAGGCGTGGTGCTTGTGCTTGGCTCTGCCGGCACTGCTCCAGGTGTAAACTCTCTCCAGGTGTAAACTTAAATCTGGTGATTCAAGGGGTGCAGGGAGCTCACCCTCGGACGATGAGGGCGCAGAATCCACGGGGTCAGGGTCCACGGGGTCGGGCTGCACTGCGGGCATGACGCCATAGGCTTGCCAAGTCCCCACGGGGGGTGGGGAAACCCCGCCCGAGAGGC